AGCCTTGGTGGGTGCTCAGCCAGGGTCTCTGCAGGTACTGCAGGATGCACAGGGCTGGGCTCTTCTCAGGGCTGTAAAATGCCTGACTGGCAGAGGCAGAGCTCAGGATCAGCTGAATTCCTGGCAGAGTTCTGTGCATGGCCAGCCCTCTGCTACCTCTGTTAGAGCATGGAGTCCCTCCTTGCCCTGTCCTTGTCCTGCAAACATAACAAAGTGGAAGGACAGAAGCAAGAAGGCAAACTGCTGTGTAGTGTTTCCTCACAGACAGCAAGGCAGAGTGAAGCAACAGGGTATATGAAAGGGTTTCAGCAGGATGTAAAGTTCTGGACTATTTTCCTTTACTTAACCTGCCATGAGGCTCTTTTATCTTTGAGCCTGAGAAGGCCCCATTTTGTCCAGTTTATTTTAGTCACTGCATTGAAATATGAGTGTAAAAACAACAACAAACCCCATCCGCATGAAACCAAATTTGATATTTGCTCCCTCTCTTAATGCAATCCCATGAATTTCTTGCATTGTTGTGTCTCATGTAGTAAGGGTCCCATGCAGAGAGCAAACAATACAGCAGTGAGAAGACAGATGCTCTGCTAATGGGAAACCAAGGAGCAGAGAGTCTGTGAGGGATTACAGGCAGCCTGGGGTCGGAATACATTATTAGCATAGCACCCAATTCAGAAATTAGTTTTCAGAATTAAATGCCTGAAGCATTTTGGCAAAAACTCCTTATCATCCCACTCAAAAGCTCTGAAAGCCTAAAGGAGTAGGAATCTCGAGGCTGGGCAGCCACGTTGGGTGACTGTGCAGTGCTGCAGCAGTGAATTGGAGATTTTACAGCTTCATACCATTGCCGGGGCAGCAGCTGCCACACCCTCTGAAATGTAGCCCACTGGCTCTGCTTGCACAAACCTTCAGCAGGTTTTGAACATCCTCATCAAAGAAGCAAATGGGCCTGAATGAGATTCCAGGGTCTGTTTCCAGGAGGAAGGTTTTGTTTTGTTGAGTGCATAACAGCAGGGAAGAGCAGCAGCCCCTCCTTGGGCACAGTCAGGCATGTGAGGGAGGAGCAGTGACATGTCTTTTCAAAGGCCTGGCATTGCCTAAGGTAGAAAGTTTGGGTCCTGAAGCCTTTTTCAGGCACATTATTTCAGAATGTTTTTCTTCTGAAAATCATGATGGGAACATCAAACTTTAAAAGACCCTGGTAGACAACCAAGATTTGCTACAGGACTGAGAACAGGCAGGAGAAATTGTTTCTCATAGTACTTGGTGGGATTATCCTCCATGCATAATTGTTTATTATATGCTCAAAATTCATTGTTAATTTCTTTTAGATATATTGCATGTTAGACAGAAGAGTTATAAATCCCAAGATTATCACAGGAGGATACAAACAGGCCTAAATAGTCAGGACAGAAGGGGTCTTGTTTTCCTCTTACATTGAAACAAAGACTCTTGGACAGGATCATTAGAGGTTTTTTGTTGTTTTGGGGTTTTTTGCCTGTTTGATAATCAAAGTATATTGGACAGCAAAGAAAAGAAAAGTTCAGCCAGCCAAGTCTTCTACTTTATTTTTACTCTGCTATTCTAACATAATTAACATATTTCTCAATGTTTATTTAGCTTCCCAGACTCTTATTTTGTATAAGTATCATTGAAGAGCTTAATTACAAAGTCTTCATTTGTGCATATAAAATGAGATTTTATTATTCTGGTAGAGAAGACAAGGACAAGGTAAATAAGGGAGAAAACAGTTGAGACCAGACTTAAGAAATCAGGAAAAATAATATGCCAGCTCTTCAACTTCCACTTTGTTGGTTTTTTTGGGGTTTTTTGTTTTTTGGTTTTTTTTTTTTGCAACCTGGTGTATCCAGCACTGTACTCCTGACTCACAGAAGGGAGAGTAAAGGGTAACATTTCATTTTCAGCTTTGAATTTCAGAGCTGATCTTTTAATAACAACTTCTCTCAGTGTTTTTATATGTACTCAAGGAGTATCTGTAATGAATATTAGGGAGAGTTCAAAATTACACTTCCCATTTGTTGTGGATAGAGTGTCCATAGACTTCTGACTGTTCCCATCCAGACTGACATTGGTTGTATTTACATCACTTTACTGCTCTGCCAACCAAATACTTTTTTAAGAACCTGGCACAGAGGGAACCCTTGTAGAGGAAGGCTGGAATTGTGCCCCGCATTGCTTAGATCCTGAATGAAGCTGTGCCTGTGGATGCCACAGGAACAGAACCAGAGCCAAGATTTGGCTGCTCCATGAGGGTCTTGCCTATCAGCCTGTGTCGCCTCACTGCTTCACCTCAGCCTGTTCTTCATGTCTCCAGATTGGGAATGGGGGCTGCTGTGCTCAAAAGCTCTTTTTACTCCTCTGACTCAGTCAGTAATAAGAAAGGCTCTGAGCCTGTGTAGCAAAACCTTCTCCTCTCTCAGTTACCTGCTCACTGGGGGACCAGAGCTTCTCCCTCCCAGCCATGCTGGGAGCCCACCCTGGGAGGCTCCTGGTGTGCTGAGAGGCAATGAAGAGGCTCCTCTGCCTTGTCTGCAGTCTGGAGCAAGTCACAACTCCTCTCCCACTGCACACACAGGATCCGCGAGGGTTGTTAATAATCGAGTGCTTCAAAGACAAACATTGACAATTTTCATTAGTATTTTAAGACTTTTAAATTCTGCTTCTAAAATTCAAAGCTTAGCACAGTAGCTCTATTTGAACACTCCAAGTTAGGATCAAACAGTGCAAAGAAGTAGTTTACTGTAAGCTCCAGAAATGTCAAGAAAGTAATTTATTGCTTTTAGCAGCAGTGCCCACTGTGTTGCCATCCTGTAGAAAACAGTGCTACTTTTGCAGCCCAAATAGATGTAAAATACAAGCAGACCTGGATCCAAAACCCTGATCTCACTGCGCCAGACCTTCAGTCTGTCTGGGATTGACCCTGTGACCAGGAGAGAGAAGAGTGTAGTGGTAAGGGACAGCTCCCTGAGCCTGGGAAATATTTTGTCACTGCTCTTAGACTCACTGGCATTTTGCAAAGTCTTCTTAATGGGGTAATCCAGTTCTGGATGTGTTTGACTAATAACAATTCTCTTGTTAAAAACAAATCATGGTTTTAATTTAATAGGGTTACTTATATAAAGAGTGATTTTGTGTCAGCAAAGCCTTTCTTTCTGACAGAATAATTTATGACAATCTAGTTAGCAATAAATGCCATTAATCTGACCACTGTGCCATTCTCTTCCTGGGGAATAATGTCCCCTCTTAATCAATAGCTGGGTGAATGCTCCTTTGCATTCCTTATCAAATGACAGCCAGATGGTACTGGTAAATTCATTCCAGCAGGATTTCAGAATTAGCTGGATTTGTGCTGTTGTTAATCCTCTGCTGTCTGTGTCACTAGGACTGCCCACCTGTTTCCAGTAAGGCTGGAGCTCCCAGCCCTAGGAACAGTCTAGCCAGAGGGTTACTCAGCCATGGGGCAGCCAAGAAACATCCCCAGCAGTGAGACTGCATCAGTAAGAAAAATGAAAAAGCAAATGAAAGTAGTATGTTGCAACAGCAGCCAGCTAGGACTGTCTGCCTCTGTATTTGCTCCTCAGCACCCTGATCTCTTCTAGGGAAGTTTCAAAGTTTCTTAAGACTGCATGGGCTGTGTTTCTTAGGGCATGGTGAGTTTTGGGCTGTGAGAGCTGCTATATCATTTACTGACTTCTGGGCCCATCAAAGTGTCTACAAGACCTTTTCCTACATAATCACTTTGTTGCATAGCAACAATAATTTTGTCTCCAACCTATTGATCCAACATAACATGTAATCCCCTCACTCCAATGAAAAAGAAAACATATGGCAGCTCCAGGCAGGGAACCACAGGCTTTTGATGTGAGGGGACAGTTAATCCCTACTAAACCAGGGGGGAATGGAGCAAGATATGCACTCTGTTGGGCTCAGAGGATGCATTAGGTGCCTGAGCCAATTAACCTGTGTTCTGGGAGAGGAGTCTGGTTTACATGCATCCTCCCTTTCCTTATCTTTGTGTTGTGCAACTAAAGCACATTTCAGGTGAGCTCTGCTAGAGGAGCATCACTGTGCAGTGCCCCAGGTGGGTGGGCACAGGCAGGATGGTGCACACAGCTCTCAGCTGCAGAGGGTGAGGGGAAAGTTCAGCCCTGCAGACACCAGTTTCAAATGTACATGGCTGGAGTTCCTCAGGGAGGTGTCTCTTGTTTGTAGGCTGTGGCTTGGTAGGTCAGTCTGATAACCTGGATGGTTTTTCCATACCTCTAAACAGAGGGCTAAAAGTGGATCTTGGCATCTGAAATGGGATCTGCTTTGGGGACAGGAGCACAAAGTTAAGGTGAGCACTGCTCAGGCAGGGAGCTCAGAGCTTTGGTCCCAGGCAGGCAGAGCCTCTCCCCAGAGCCCTGGCCCTGCAGTGTGGGCTGGCAGCTGGGCTGGGGACCATGGTTCTGAGGTACCTTCCTGCTGCCCACACTGCAGCCAGCCCAGGCTCCTGTGAGTGCCCTACTGGATTCTTCCTGCCTGGAAGGCTTGGTATCCACAAGGCAGCTAAATCCTTCTTGGAACTGGGTTCATTCTTCTAGCTTGCAAATAGCACTGAGTGAAATGTGGGTCCAAAGTCTGAGGTGGATAATTTGAGCAGGATTTGGGGAGGTGAGTCCTCTGTTATTTAAAAGAGTAAATTCAAGCTAGTTTCTGCACACCAAGCACAAACTTTCCATAAAGACTTTAAAAATAAAAAAAAATTAAATTTACAATAATGCTGTTACATGGGAAATCACAGTGGAAATATTGCAGTGGATCAGAAACTGGTCTCTGAACATGCTGCAAGAGCTGAGTGAAGGCTTCTGATTCACTGTCTCCCAAACCTGTGTCATACACAGCACAGGCTGGAAAATAGCACAGCCTTCACCTAAAAGGTATTTCTATGGCTAGAAGAGCGGCTACTAATGATCCTTTCTTTTCTGTCATTTTAACAGTATTCAGGTTTTCAGCAAACAGCAGACAAGTGCTTTGTTTGTGGACACCTCATAATGGAAATGGTAAGAGACCTAAACTCCTAATGACAGGTAACTTGGGAAGTGCACTGTGAGACATCTGTTTTTCCTTATCCATGCTGGTATTGTGTCTTCACTGCTGTCAACATAGTTTTTGAAACTGAGGCAGTAAATAAAAATACCTTCATGCTCCATTACTACTATTAAGTACAGAAAGTTGGGCTTCTTTGCTACCTAAGAACATGGAAGGCTATTACTCTGCCATTTGTGAGTTAAAATAAAATAGAATTTTAATACTAAAGGGGAAGTACAGCACAGCTTCGTATGAGAATATGGTAAAGGAACACGGTGGGTGTGCTCTGTAAGACAATAGATAACTAGAGCTCAGTCATGTGGGTGGAATCTGGGATAGAGCAGAGAGGGACATTGTCAATAGCCCTGACATTTGTCACCTGCTCTGGGACTTGCTTTGTTTACCCTCTGTTGCTTGCTCCACATCATTTAAAATGCATTATTGCCACTGGGATTTTCAGGGAGCCAGTAGTCAGAGTTATTTTTGTAATAAAAATAAAATCAAAGAGCTTTGGGTTGACCAGATCCTACTGGCATCCTTTCAGTGGGTGAAAGTAAGAAGAGTTGTGTGTGCTCTTTTAAGCAGAAATTCCCAAACAAAATGAAGTGGTTTGCACAACAAAGAAGGGCAGATCCTGCCGTGTATCTGTTTTCCTCTTGCTTCAAAGTGTGCACGAACCTCAGTGTGCCTAAGAGAAGTAGCTGGTGTGTTGCACACATGGAGGTTCAGTCAGAGCTGGAGCAGGGACTTCACTAATGAGGATTCTGGCTCATATTCTGGCACCACTGGTTGGACAAGGATATTGCTCGTTTTAGCCCAAGAGCAAATCTCTAGAGTTGTGTCATGCTGGGAGGGGGAGGGGTATCCTGACGTGCGTGCTTTGAGCTGGCCCTTAATTGCAGAATCCCAGGCAAGAGTCCATAATATCTCACTGGTGGAACTCAGTAGCTGGAAGCTTGGCAGGTGCTTGTCTCTCTCTCCCATCAGCAAGTGTGCTCTGACAGAAGGAAACAGCTCTGGGAGCTGCAGGATTTCAGCACTCCTGTTGGGGTAATTCCAGCGTGTTCCTGCCCGGGAGCACAGCCCAGCCCTGCTGTGTGCTGCCCTGGGGCAGAGCTGGGGCACTGCAGGGCTGGGTGAGGAGCTGTGCTCAGGGCCTGTGGCTGCACAGCGGTGCCAGGCTGGCACCACAGCGAGCTCCTGCAGCAGCACCAGCCCAGCACAGGGACCAGCTCTGGCTGGGAACGGCCTTCCCAGTCAAACAGAGCCTGACACCACTGAACTACAGAGAGGGGGAAAAAGGTTAAATTAAATTGGCCCTTTTTTCTATACTTCTTTCCTTTTGGTTTGATCTTTATTCACAGAATCACCTATAGGGCCATGGGAGCTTGGTCTGTGTAGATTTTTCATCTTGAACTTCCCAGCAGCTCCAAGCTGAGCACTGTGCTAGCAGCTGAAATTTTGAAATTACCTTCCAAAGATACTTCTTACACCCAAAATGTATGGAATTGGTCTTATAATCTGTTGAGAGCTGCCTGAAAGAGATAGCTGTGTCTCACTCTCCCCAGGGGCTTGTTCATGAGCTTGCAGTGTCCTCCTTGATGAGTGTCACGTACGAGGACATCAGGATCTGTTCTGCAGTAGTGCAGCCAAGGCTGCCTCAGACCTTTCCCTGAAACCTTTAAAATGCAGGGGCAGGTCAGCATGGGAGAAGCCTGGGCAGATGCATGGATCAGTATCCAAACACATGGATAGTGATGGAATTTTCTCAGAAACCAATGGGCCCCTGTGACTGAGTGATAACCAGTCAGTAACTCCAGGAGATTAGGATCCTGAGTTAATAAAGAGGCACCTCTTTATTTGCTTGTTTTGTTGTTTAACTTTTTGAGTAATGACCAGTTTGGATTCTGTCTGTCACAGCCTGTTAAGTTTTGTAAAGTAACTCTGTATCCAGTAACTTGTATTTGGAATTTCCCCAGAAATGGTCTGTGAAGCCATTTCTAATTTCCATTGACAGTACTGGCCCTGCAGAGCTAAAGCTGATGGGCTTAGCCTGATTTTCAGTTCTTGCTCTTCCTTGGCAGCATATTGAAACCCACTAAAATAAGCAAGTTGATTGTTTTAAGAGGCCCCTTGCTGACAGATCTGCAGAGTGGTAATTTCATCCTGAAGTGCTTTTCTCACTGTCATTATTAAGAATGAGAGAGACACAGCGGTTTATGGGGAGAGAATATCTCATGTAATCATGCATCCACTTCTTTTGTTGTTTGCCCCATAAGATCTTACAGGCCCTTGGAAAGTCCTACCATCCTGGCTGCTTCCGCTGTGTGGTGTGTAACGAGTGCTTGGATGGAGTCCCCTTCACTGTAGATGTGGAAAACAATATTTACTGTGTCAAAGACTACCATACGTGAGTACACAAATCCACTGCATGCTCAGCAAAATGACAGTAGTTAAATCATTGATGTAGTTATAAGCCTTGTGATAGATAAAAAGGTCACTCCTGTTTGCTCAGATGTCCCTCAACTGCTTCTTCCATGTGTTGCATTTGTAAAGTATTTTAAGGTTTGTTAAGCAGTACCTTATGGGCCCACTATGGCATACAGTGGCCAAGTGAGGCTGAAAATCAAATTGTGTCAGAGGATGGGCTTCTTGGGGGCTGTTCCTCCACTTCTTTCAGGACTACCAACACTGATTATACCAGGCCACTTCTGCAAGTGTTGGTAGGCTCTGCTGGCTGTTTCATGAGCAGAGGTTCTGGCAGTGCTTGACACAGGTGTGAGTTTTGTTAACTGACAGAAGACGTGTAATAAACAGTTACTGTTAGAACCATTTGTTGAGCCTTACCTGACAAAAGGTAGAGGTTTAAGAGATTGCTTTTGGACTCTTTCCTGATTCCACTCAAAGGCAACAGGATCCTGCTCTTAGCTCCAGTTAACCAATAACTCAGTTATGCAGCAGGAGGAAATCACCCTGAATTCAGCCCTCTTGGTGCCAGTCTGTGTTACAAGGACACAGTGAGTAGTGGCCCAGTGACTGGCATGAAATGCAGCTGTGGACCATAAGTCCATTTGTGTATTTAGCTGGTAGATTCTGGCCACGACTTCTTTCAGGACTACCAACACTGATTATACCAGGCCACTTCTGCAAGTGTTGGCAGGTCCTGCTGGCTGTTTCATGAGCTGGTAGATTCTGGCCACAATCAGCCCCTCTCCTGTTTAGGACACATGGTTATGGCTTTCTAATGTCAGAGTCCCTAAGTCAGGAGCTGCTTTGTAGTCAAGCATCAAGGCTCTGGAAGAATTTGAATGGTTTTATAAATAAAGGAAGGAAGGAAAGAAAAATGGCATATACAGGAAGAGGGGTGGATTCACTACGCCTCAAGGTCGGGAAGACCTAAACAATAAAGTAGATCAGCCTTTGCCAAATCTCCTTTTCATTGAATATCATCAATAAAGGCGTTTCAAATCCTGTGGATCTCTATTTTACTAAAAACAAGGCATGATTAGAATGGCTCTCTTGCTTCTACTTTTTGAAGATGCTTTAAATGTGATTGGAACATTTTCTTTTTGCACCCTAGGGTTTTTGCACCAAAATGTGCTTCCTGTAACCAGCCAATCCTCCCAGCACAGGTAGGTGTTAACATGCACTGACTCCTAGGGAAAACAGCTGTTGGCATATGGGCACTTCCTAAAAACACACTAAAGGCTTCTCCTTCCTCTCCCAGAATCTTTAGTACCATGTTAGATACTAAATTAAACACAGGTCAGCAGTAAAGTCACTCCCAAACATTCCCAGAGGTTGTAATAGTCATACTACTCCTACAGCATAGTACTTTTTATCTTCAGGGTGCTTTCCAGGTCTTCTTAATCTGTTAGAAACCTCTTTTAATTGAAACACTGACTGGGGCTCCAAGAACAACTCAGGGAGTAAAGCCCTTGCAAAGGCATCTGGTGGTTGCTGACCCTGTGGGAAGGCCACACAGTCTGTGTCCTGAGGTGGCAATGGATGGAAGTTCTTAAAGTTCTAAAAGACAACCAGAAAAATGGAACTAGGTGAAACCACACAGTCTGTGTCCTGAGGTGGCAATGGATGGAAGTTCTTAAAGGGGTTGAAAAGACAACCAGATGTCTTTTCAAAATGGAACCAGGTGAATCCTGCTTGCAAGCTCAGCCTGTGCTGACAGTGTTGTGGGCACAACTAGCCCATAGTGGGGCTCCCTGGTGCTCTGGTGGGTGCAGGACCCTCTGAGCTGCCTTTGCTGAGGTCACTGACCAGCTCATTAGTAAGCAAGGGCCTCAGCATCTCCTGCCTTTCCTCTGGCCATGTTTACAGCACCAGAGCTTCCCTCCTGTGAGCTGCTGTGCCCCAGTGAAGCCTGATGCTAGAGCCTCTCACATGCCCACCTCCATCACTCTGCACAGTACTCTCATTTGTCATTAGTATTTCTGTTAATTGGCCAAGTAACCAAACCCTAAAAAACCCTATAAAGGGTTTTTTGAACCAGAACTGCTATGTCCTGATGGGTTGTGAGGAGAAAACCTCTACGTAAATATCACTGAATTTGTGTCTTATAAAATAATTCTTTTTTTCTTTTCAAGAAAGAAAGGAAAATAATTAAAAGGCAGTCATAGTGCTGACTCACCTGATGACTAGCAGGACACACTCCATATTCTTTCCCTGGGAGATTTCCTAGGTTAGTTCCAGTCTAGCAGTGCAGGTGCTGACTTGCCCACAGCTTCTCTCAGACACAGTCCACAGCATATCTGGTGCTCTAACCACACCTGGAACTGGAAACAATGCAAAGCAACCAATTTAATGAGCTGTGTCTTCAGAGCTGATCAGAAGAGCCTGTGAGGTTACATGAAGGGTATGGGCTGCTCTGCAGGGCCTGGGGCTCAGCCAGAATTGCACAACTCTGCTGCACCACCCTCACGCTGAGGTTTAGCCTGTGCTCATCATTACCTGCCAGACTGGTATGTCATTCCCTGTGGGGACACAGTGACATGTGCATGTGCAAAAGAGCTGTGTGGCCAATGGTTTGAGAGGAACACAAGTCCTGGAAATCAGGGCAGGATGTATACAAGGAAAAGTTACCCAATGAGCAGGGTTTTGGCTGGTAATTTGTTCAGATCCTGGGTGGCCTTGGAAGATCAACTGATTTCAAGACTGATTTCCTTGAGGATGAGGTTTTGGCTACACTTCCCAAATGACCTCTGCAGTTTAGATGTGCCACACACTCAGACTGTTGCTACCCAGCTGAGGAGTGCTGCAGAGCCATGTCCTGGTGCCATGACCTTCAGTGGTCACAGAGCCCTGCTGCACGGGGGACAGGGCCTTCCCCCAGGGACACAGCCCCCCAGAGCAACGAGCTGGGCACCGTGTGAGCCCTGAAAAACCCTTCTGAGACACCACTGTCACCTTCTCTGTGCTCCCCCAGGGCTCCGAGGAGACCATCCGGGTGGTGTCCATGGACAAGGATTACCACGTGGAGTGCTACCACTGCGAGGTGAGCGGGGCCCGGCCGCGGCAGGGCCTGCCCTGGGGACTGCTCTGCTTTGGGGACTTGCTCTGCTTTGGGGACCTGCTCTGCTCTGGGGACCTGCCCTGCTGACTGCTCTACCCTGGGGACTGCTCAGGCTTTGGGGACTTGCTCTGCTTTGGGGGACCTGCTCTGCCCTGGGGACCTGCCCTGGGGACCTGCTCTGCTTTGGGGACCTGCCCTGGGGACCTGCTCTGCCCTGGGGAACCCTGACTCACCCCATGGGCTGCCCTCCCTGGCCCTTGCACACCTGGGCAGGTAGGGCTCTGCTCCACAGCTCCTGAGGCAAACAAGCTGGTGAATGCTGCTGGCTGGAAGGGGTGCTGCCATCGCCAGTGTCAAATTAGTTTTGGAGGGGTTTTCCCCAATATGTTAGCTTCAAAGCTGGGCTTGGTTTGTTGGGTTGAGTTTTCTCAGTACTTCTGAATGGGGAGTGAGGAAAGAGTAGGTGGCAGTTCTCTTTTTCCTCATCTCTAGGTGCAGTCTGTAGGGCTCTGATCTGAAGAGACTTGAATTTACATTGGCTGTGCAGGGAAGGAGTCTCACTGGAAGGCCTTTCTAGGGGATCTGGTTTTTCCATACTGAATGAATATTGGTTCTTTACTAGAAAATTGACCAGGATACCATGACTTTCTGTCACTTTTTTGGGAGTAGTTTCTTATTGTGCAGAACATTTAAACATTTATTGCCACAGATCAAGTTGTGGAATTAGTGTTCTTGCTTCAGAGAGGAGACCTGAGTTTATCCTTAGTCCTGCCTCCAGCAACATGAGAAGGGAAACAAACTCACTAAGCTGGGATCAACCAAAAACTTCTCTTTTGCTGTAGCTTTGGCACTTTGACATAGCACACAAATATCCACACAGATCTTACCTGTTAACACCAGGGGCAGAAATACAGCAGTGCTGCCTTCAGGCATGAAGGTTTTATGAAGAATCTTCTGACTGAGAGAGAAAATAACAACGTTCAGGGAAATCTTGAAATACTGTGTACCTAAATGTAAGGAAGGCCCCATCCACTCAGCTATCTCCTTTCAACAGACACCTGGTACTCCATCCATTTCTATTAATTTTTCAAGAGAAATTGGCACAGGAAACCACCATATTTTGGAGAGCTGAACTTCCCTCCTCCTTCCCCCAACTATTGCTCTGTGCAGGCTTTACCTAAGATGACAGCTCCCTCCCCTGCTCTCAGGCTATTGACTTTATGCTGGAATGTCCCACTGGGGGTTTATTTTCCATTCTATTTCATTATTAATTTCCCCATCCTCCTTCCCATTTGAGGCAAATCAAGCTGCCTCCACATCTGCCCAGAAAGGCAGAGTGCATTTGTGTACAGAAATCAGGAGTTAGCCATGTGTCAGCAGGGGTGGGTTACTGCCTGATGCTCTCAAATCAGGCTCTCTGCACACTGCTGTCCCCAAATGCTGCTGGAAAACGCAGTGCCAGTATTTTGAGGTACACAAGGTAGGCACGTGAAGAGTTCAGCAAAGGCTGCCGTGACTTAGGCAGCCACTTCTCATCTGCTGCTGCTGTCACCCTCACCTGGTGGCCACACAGAGTCTGTGGTCAGATTGGAAACTTTGCAGCTTTTCTGTGTCATCTCTCTCACGTGCAGCCACTGGATTTCTGTAGAGGAGTTCAAGCCCCTCTGCAGATCTCTGGAGCCCCATTCTGAAACTGGAATCCACTGACAAGACAGGCTTTCTCCTTGCAGAAAGAGAATTCAGTTTTGAAGAGGGAAGAAGATATGAACACTTGGCAGCTCTTAGGGCATCTGAAACTGATAAATTCTAATTTTATGTCTAGTAGAAATTGCTATAAAACCATTACATAATATATAGCAAAACACAGAAAATTACCTTGGCAGATACTTTGATTAAGACCTCTCTAACTCTCCAGTTTTAAAGCTTAGTTTAAAACCCATTTTCAGTCTTATTTCAGTATGGTAAATTTTGAGGATTTAAACTTGAGCTGTGAAACCTGGAAAATTATGCTTTGTGTTCACTTAAAAGCTTTGCATTTGTTTTCGGTACTAAAACCACCTATATACCCAGTTTGTTCTGTTTGGCTTTTTATTTCTTTCTGTTAAGTGCACAGATAAATACTCAGAATCTCTGGTTTCTCAGAACTGATCACAGGAATAATTTCTAAGTATTTAGCATACTTGAAACATTAAATCTGAGTACCAAACTTCAATGATTTCCAAATGCCCTCAGAACTACAGTGCTGGCAGTTGGAAATCAGGATGGTCCCTATTGCAGTGTACATAAGAGTCAGCAGGCAGGATCACTGTTAGCTGTTTTCTGTTTGTCTCTGTCTGTGGTTATGTGTCAGTCCCAGAGGTACCAGCATTTCCGCTAAGGATGGACCACTGGCCTTGACGGCTTTAAGTTCTTTTAATTCCAAATTAGAGCAAGTGTAGACGTGCTCCAGAAGTAAGATATGTCTCCTCTCCCCACTTTTGCCCTCCCCTCTCATTCTCTGCTTATGCTCCCCCACATCTGCCTTGCTGCCTTGCTGCAGGATCAGCTCCCCCTCTGTTCAAGCCTCTTCCAGGTTGTGTTTGTCAGGGGCAGCCCCTGGCCTTCTTTCTGGCTTTTGATTTGCATCACCATTTATTAGATGGAGAAGAGACCAGAATGGGAAAGAGTGGTGAAAAAAAGGCTGGACACTACGACAGCCTGTCCTGGATTTCAGTAGTGTCAGGGTGCCAGGAGCTGTGGAGGCTGCTGGCCTTGGAGGTGGGAGGGAGCTCCAGGGGCTGTGCAGGACAGGGCAGCAGGGCTGGGAGGGGCCTGCCTGAGTCCCTCACTGATCTGGGATGTCTCTCTTCCTTCCAGGACTGTGGCTTGCAGCTCAATGATGAGGAAGGCCATCGTTGTTACCCCCTAGAAGGCCACTTGCTCTGCCACAGCTGTCACATCAGGCGCCTTAATATCAAACTGCCATCACATCCACCTCCAAGCTACCCCATGCATGTCACAGAACTCTGAAAGACATTTCCATGATCAATCAGCCGCTGGAAAGAGAAGACAAAAATCTAAAAATTACTTTCGTGTTCCTTTAAAGATGAGGTTCCAGTAATAACCATCTAAACCAGCTATTTATTTTTCGAATCAGAGGTGAGGGGTCCTTTTCTGATCTTGTACATATGCATTCTTTTATCTAGACATTTTCACTGAGACACCGTCTACTTGAACAAATAATTCACACTAAACTGTATCTGTAAATGGCAGCATTTCTAAAAACAATGGTACAAAGGGCTGTTCTGCACTCCCTACTCTCTTCCTTCAGTGGAGATTTCACCCAAGTAAGGAGTGTAGAATTACTTTCCAAAAGTTAGCACCTTATCATATTGCAGCAAGCGTGATAAGATAAATGCTAGCATTTTAGCTAGTTTTGTTGAATTCTGGTCTTAGAGAATACTTAGATTCCAGAAGTAGGGAATAGGCAGCAAGCAGGTGTTTTAGCCAGGGCAGTTTTCAGCAAGGTTAAAGAAGGGTGTTCTGTGAAGAAGTGCCAGGCCAGCTCTCCATCCTACAGGGTCCCACAGTCATCCAAAGACTAATTATTTGGTTTGCTCAAGAAATGTGGCAAGCCTCTGATGTAAAGCCCACAGTACAGAGGATTGTATCCAAAAGATTGGCTCATGCAGGGGCAGCAGTTGCAGCTCTCTGTAATTGCTGGCTGTGTAGCCATGGCTTCAAAATGCATTCCTATCAATTTGGCACTTATTAAAGAATTCATCTTTCAAACCTGTTTTTTGTTCAGTAGGGTTCTATGCAAAGGTACACTTGTCTTTATACTGCTTGTTTTATCCAAGACTTCATTTGTTACCAACTGCTTCATGATTGTATGTTGAGACATTATTAAAGAGAGGCACAGTGGTTTGGTATTACCTTTTCAGCTTTGTGTTCTTTCCGAGATTACTTTTCAACTGATTATGGTGATTGTCTTCACTGGAAAGCAAAGTGCAGTATGGCAGGAATGGTAATTTAGAGAGTCAGACCACGAAACATCAGTGTTTACAACAAGTGTTAGCTGTACATAGAATGTGCACACTTTCATGTTTTGCATAAGCTTTTACAGTACCCTCAGACCTCTGGGGAGAATTATATGTCTTCCGTATAGGAAGTTAGATGAATCTTTTTTTTATGGTTGGTTTTCTACCGTGTGCTGATATTTTACATGCAAATCACACATCTGTATGTCAAAAAAATTCCTTGCATTCTCATGAGAATTGACCCAACCTTCCTGAAGCTGCAATTTATCATTGCTGCCTTTAACTGTATTCAAAGTTAAAATAAAATAAAATTCTTCAGCCCCAGAGGAAGTAGAAATACCAGACTGGATTCTTGGCATGTGCAAATTGGGACATTTCCATGCCAGTTCTGAACACTTGAGAATCTGCCCGATCCGTTCGGAAACGATCCCGTGTTAAATTCAGCATGCAGACTGATGGAATGACTTATTTGGCAACACCATTGCAGTTTAGTTTCTTATGCTCCATTGACTTTTTGAAAGCCATTTGTGGTGCTCTTGAAAAGCACAAAGAGCATCCAATGGCCACTAATTCCTAAGTGGAATAATTAACTCCCTTAACAGAACTTTTTGATAGTCTGGAATTTCCTTATGAGGAAAGGTGGGGGGAAGGGGAACAGGAAAAATTCCTGAGAACTATTTTTTTCTGTTAGTAAGGAACAAAAAGGATGCTTTCTGAACTTCTGCCAGACTTCCATTGGCCTGGATTAACCTGCCCTACTGAAGGCTCCTGGGCAAAGCAATTTTGTAGCTAATGTATATCAGTACATGTTGAATGTGACTGCCAGGATTTGAAGTAACTACAGTGCAGTCAGTGCCCCATTTCTGCACTGTGGTCCAAGAGGCCTGGCCTGCAAACAAGAGGCCAGAGGTACACATGCACTTCTGCATTTGCAACTCTCCCTCTGTGTCCACAGTCAGCAGCACAGCCTCAGGAGAAAGTGGAAGTGCATGTGCCAGCAAGTGTTGGAGAAAGGGGAAAAAAATGTCTTAAACTGGATTGTATGCCTAGGTCAATTCCTTCAGGTTATCACAAACATGGAAGGTGCCAGAGCTTCAGGACAAACTTTTGGCACCAGCTGCAATGGAATGCTCTTTCCATTGCAGGAGGGTGCTTTGGGTCACATTTAGCTTTGAGGCATTTTCACTTGCATGTCTTTACATGCAGTCTTTACCCAGATTAAGAAATCATTAAAATACATAGAGTAGGTTTGGGTATGTTCCTGGGAACAAATAACAGTTACTTGCTGAACTGGAAAAATCCTTTGCTCTACCAACAGAGAAGCAAAACCTTCACACTGACAGTGGACAGAGCTGGAGGTGACTTACCCTGGCCTTCAGCCCAGTCCTCTGCCAGCACCTTCCTGAACACTGTGCCTCCATCAGGGGCAGGTTTAAGTTTCCCAGATACTTTCCAAGGACCAGCACACTTGCAAACATGTACATACCAGACCATTTCTTCATGGTTTTTTCAAAATTATCATCCTGTAGAACAGAGTAATATTTAATTTCATTTGACATGTGATTTTTCAGTCTCTTGTAGTTCTGTGCAGTTCTGATCTGTTAAGTGTCACCATGGTAAAAATTCTGAAAGGTAATATGTCAATATAGAATAAGCAATTTGTTTAAAACCAGAAAGCAGCAGCTGTTGTTCTAGTATTTTCTATAGACAGATGCATTCCATTACTGTATTACAAAGTGCAGCTTTGCTTTTCCAGCATTTACTATAAAAACTGGGGCTTGAGTGAGATTTGCCAGGTTTGGTTGCTTTTTTTTTTTTCAAATCAAATAGAAAAATAAAATCAAACCTAAAATAATGATGTGCTGTACTCTTTAGCGCTAGTGACAGTTTCTGCACATTTTACCTCTTGCCTGGGGAATAATGTAAATGAGAAATCTCATTTTAATTATTTTCTTACGGAATATTCTTACATTAAATCACTTCAACACAGATGAAAACTTCCTAAGTCCATCTTACAGTGCAATTGTTCTTCAGAAGCCGTTACTGTGCTTTCAGAATATTTCCATGAAGTTGCATCAATAACCCCCTGCTCTCCTTTGCATCAGGGCTGCCCCTCCCAGCCCTCAGGGGAACCTTCCCGAGCCCGGCAGGGTCCCTCCCACGGGAGGGCGTGTTCCAAAGAAAGGACCAAAATCACCCTTTGAAAACAAAAGAATGCACTCAGAGAATGGAGCTTACACTGAGGGTTTGTTTGGGTTTCTTTCCTTTTCCTTTTACTCGTGTGCACGTGTGTGTATATATTTTGTAAGGTGGAGCTTCAAAAGGAAAATATGGTTAGAGGAACTCTTTAAGACCAGAAATTCCAGAGTAGTAAAGTAAACCAAAGCTCTAAAGGAAACAAAAGCTGCTTTCTTGTGTTTCAAGAAAAGTTTAAAAGTTTGTGATTCATCCTGTAACTAATGCCGTAACTAGAGTATATAATTTGACTTAAATTAAGTTTTCATTTGAGAAATATTTTCATTTTCTTTAAAAGAATATAGTTTTCTTCCAAGAACTTGGACCAACGTTGATTTTTATTTTGTAGGAAATATATGAATTCCCAGTTTGTATATCATGTAACTAGTTTACATGCTGAAAATATGCATTAGTTAACTATTTTTGTATATATATATCCTTGTAAAACCTTTCAATGTGCTTCTGTCTTTTAGTCTTTAGAATTACTTGTGGTTTTGTGTTTCAGTGTTTGATTCCCTTGATTGTTGAAGAAAAAATTGGGAAATGTAGATTTATTTATCTAAAGAAGAAGCTACTTGCTATCATCTTAAGTTATTTAATATTAAAGTCAGAAGTTTCATTTAACCTTAGATGCTATAATCTGCTTTTTTCAATAAAGACATTTTGTAGTTATCTCTGGTTTTGTACTCTGTTGTGTGTAAGTATTTTGTTTTTATTTAATCTAGGTAGGCATTAAAACAATTTTCAGGAGCCCTTGTATTGCCTACAGAAATGCCTAACTGATATTAATTGATTGCAGCTGCATTCATGAAAGATTTTGGTCCTCTAGTGCAAGTGTTACTAATTAAGGTCTAAAATATGCCCACAGCTAACGTTCTGCAGCTGCACTTAGAAAAGAATTTAGTCACTCTGGCACTTTTTAATTAAGCTTTAACCAGTCTGGCTAGTTCACATGTCGGACAGTCAGCATTGAGGAACACTTCCTTTTCAAAACTCTCATTATTTTTTGGAGTGTTCCACAAGAGAAATATTTGCCTGGGCTGTGAACTTAGCTTGAAGCACTTGGACCTTGGTTTGGGGAATTTTCTCTATATTCTTGCTAAGTCACAGTATCCAGAAACTGGCCAGAGCTCTGATAGGATCAGAGAGGTCTGTGTTTATCTGTTTTGCCTTCCTGAAGCTTTTTGCCACATTCCATCGTCCAGTTTCATGGCACAGGTAGGAGCCTGGTCACATTCACTTCCTCACCGCGTGGTCCTGCAGGAGCAGCTGTGGGCAGAAGGTGCACTGCTCTCTTGCCTGCAGCTGGCCAGGGCAGAGAGCACAGCAGCCAGGTCCTTGTTTCCCCATGGTCAGTGTCCCTCCTTCCCATCAGGCTGGGCAGCCTGCTCTCTGCTGAGTGCTCTGCCCTGCAGTCGGGGCAGATCCAACACTCACGGCTGTGTTTGGCTGTGCAGCACCCTCCCATCAGAGGGGCCTCTGCAGCTCTGCCACCCTGACTTGGCAAAGCCCAGATGACTTCATAGCTGGAGAAGAAACTTCTGGAGGTTTTCCCACAACGGCTATTTTGGCAAATTTTTCTTCTGCACAGTCAGAATGGAAAGAGTTACAGATGCCACAATTGTTTTAGGGACAGTCTGCACTTTGGTGCTTTGAAACAGATGTACCATACTTCTGCAGGGCCTTCACATACATGCTATTTTCTCACTCATTATTTTCAAAAATTCATTCAAAATGAGCAATCCATGCCCTCCTTGAAGAAAAAAAAGAAAAAAAAAAGCACAAAGACTGGCCAACTCAAAGCATTTTAGCAGGGCCTTACTACATGGGTGACACAAATGTACTTAATAAAAATCTAGGACATCTTAATGCAGCAAGAATTTACACCAACTCATAATCAACTGACTGAAAAGAACAGAGTACTTAAAAATCCTCACTGTTCCATGTGGGCCTCTGTGCAGAAAGCACATACTGGAGAAGTGAACATTGGTTCAGGGCAGGGTGGGTGTGAGTCAGGCCTGGCTCCTGGGGAGCACCACCAAAGGCTTCTCTGTGCTGGGTCCCTGGCTCTGTGCTGGGTCCCTGGCATGGCAGTCAGCCCACAGCCTCTGTGTTCTGACATTCTTGAACCCACGGCTGCTAAACCTGGTGTGCAGATGATTTGGGAGGGCTTGGCCCTGCTCTTCCACCTTACCAGCCACCCCCAGGGCTGCAGCCCTCACCTTGCGGCTACTTCACAGAACCAGGATGCTGCCAGGCTGAGACAGAGACATTTGTTAGTTATGGAAACAGTTAGAAATATGTCAAATAGGCTGGTGAGGCTGTCTTCTGTCCCCACAGTTCATAGAATAAATGAGGGTGGACAAGATGTCATTTGATGCAACACACACACACGCACACACACAACCTAAACAAATAGAATTGTTTAGGTTGGCAAAGACCTCTAAGATCATTGAGTCCAACCATTAGCACAGCCAAGGCCAGCACTAACCCATGTGCCCAAATGCCACATCCACACATATTTTCTATCCACCCGGGGATAGTTATGCCAATGCTTAACAACCTGTTCTGTGAAGACATTTCCCCTGTTATCCTACCTAAACCTCATCTGGCACAACTTGAGGCCATTTCCTCTTGTCCTGTCCCTGTTCCCTGGGAGCAGAGCCCAGCACTCCCTGGCTGCCCTCTCCTGTCAGGAGTTGTACAGAGTCAGAAGGTCCCCCTGAGTGTCCTTTTCGCTGGACTGAGCCCCTTTCCAGCTCTCTCAGCCTCTCCTGGGGCTCCAGCCCCTTCCCCAGCTCTGTTCCCTTCCCCTCCAGGTCATTCCTGTAGATAGGGCCCCACAGCAGAACACAACACTCAGGGAGTGGCCTCAGCAGTGCCAAGAAGAGGGTGACAACCACTTCCCTGGTCCTGAAGCCCACCTGGGTGCTCCTGGGCTCACGTTCAGCCACTGTCACCAGCACCCCAGGGCCTTTCCCTCTGTGCAGATCTCCAGCCCCTCTGCCCCAGCCTGTTGCTGTGCAGGGCGTGGTTGTGACCCAAGGACAGGACCCAGCATTTTACCTTGCTGACCCTCACACTGGTGGCCTCAGCCCATCCACCAAACCTGTCCTGATCCCTCAGCACAGCCTTCTACTCTCCAGCAGGTCAACACTCCCACCCAACTTGATGCCATCGTTGGACTTAGCTGAATTTGCCAGAACTGTGATTCCAGTTGGTGCAACCAGCCTCAGGCTTGGGACTGCTTGCAGATAAGAAAATTTGAAGGAGGAACTACTAAGCAACATCTGGAAATAGTGAGCAAGAGCTACCAGACATGGAGAAGGAGACATCAGTCTTCACTGGGTGTCTAAGCTGGACGTGAAAATGTCACTCTCTAAATAGAGGGCGTTGGTTTCTGGAATAAATTGCAGGTCACTCCTCAGCCACCACTACTGGGCTCACCAGCAGCTGATTTATATATCTTAAAAGCTATGGGGTTCACTGTAACTTCTGATAAAACTCCAGAAGACAAAAAAAAATTTCTTCCTGTTCAAAATTCATTTTAGATCTTATCACAGAGCTAGATAACATTCCCACCATCTCTTTACACTTTGAGACAACAAACCCAAGTTCCCATGTTGTTTAAGAACAACCTCCTGTCTGCAGTACCTGCACTGCCCTGTGCTGTCTGTTTCTGTCCCATCTGAAGACAATGCACAGCATTAGACAGCATAAATCACTG